ACATGATCCAAGCAGCCATTTCATCCCACGGATACCCCTTTCGTAAGAGTGCTTCATTAAAAGTTTGTGACCTGAACTCTTCATACAGGGATTATTGCTGAATGAGTCAATAAAAATACATTTTTGGCAATGCAGTATTTCAGTCCGTATGTTTTAAAAAACACTCGAATGAAATTTCACTTTCTTCATTCTTGTGTGCCTAAGAAGTTTATCCATAAATATTATGAACATTGAGAAAACAATGTGTGCGTGCAATGTGATATTACATACAGGAATATTACGGATTTATTTACATATTTGCTACCCATATTAAAATAAGGATTAAAAATATATTTTGTATTGAGGCTTTTTATTAAGGCTTATTTGCTTTTGAAAGTAAGTATCTACCATTTTCTACTATTAAGACACTTCGAATTTCAAATTTCTCCCTTTAAAAATGGACATTTATTTTTAGATTTTTCTTTTCAAACGACAATTAGGTTATTTGTTCTTCACTACAAAATCACTCGCTCATGTTTCTTGAATTTAAGGGAATACTGTCGGTGAGTATGCCAATAGTCGCAAATATGAGCTACGCATTTACAATTTCTCAAATAACCGAAAATTCATAATCAGGGTCGTCACCATTCCACAAACAGTTTGTAAATTCACATCACAGGAAGGGACAAAATTGTTTTCAAATGTATTTGGTCACGTCTTCTCTAAAACACTGTTACATTAAAGTTCATGTGTTTTTTACTTCAACTTTCTCAAAATGACATTGGACATTCCTTTAGTCTTCTTGAGGAATATCCATTTCCTCGTCTTCGTCGGATTTTGAACCACCTAAGTCCACTTTTACAGTTATTTTTAAATTGCCGTCCTTAAAATCACCTTCTGATTTCACTAATTTCACGATCCTGTCGTTCGAAGAGTTGTCTTCGATCGCGAATCTCCTCGAAAAAACGAGCGAGCAGTCCCGCCTTTTTTCCCAACGCGACCACCCGCCATCAGGGTTCTTGTGGTCGGGTTCCAAGTGGTGCAACTCGAGAGGCGCGTGGCGATAAGGGCACCGGTGTATGCTGCAGTTTCCTTGCTGCCACTCGGGGCAGACGTACGTGGAGCCGAAGGCCCGGGGTTCGTGTCGATATGCGCAGATGTCGCTCTTTAAACAGAACCCGTACTCGTAATAACGAGCGCAGTCGCTCTGCCTGCGACGGCTCATCGACTTCTGCGGCGGTTTCCCCCGCCTGCTCTTGAGTTTAGTCGGCGTCATTTTGACAGAGAGTATTACTTTAATCGAATATATGAAATTAAATTAGTATGTTTTGGAAATAGTTGTCACAGCAAGCTGCTTCACACGAAGATGGTGAGCCGTGTTCAGAAATCAAAACGTGCAACTATTTATAATAAAACAAGTATGAGATAATTAAACAAAAGTTGTCCGGGTAACCGTCATATCGTCAAAGATATTATATTTTTTGTAAGTCTGTAATATTATTTTGCTATGTTAGCACATCATTTATACTATTATCATACATGCATTTGCTAGTATAAGTGATGAATGTATGATTTGAGAATAAAATCTATTTTTTTTTTTTTTTTTTTTTTTTGGTTTTTAATGTTTTTCTAATTCAGTTAAAATAAGTGCATTTGGTTATCAATGGCTTGCGTCCTGTCAAGTTATATTTGCTTAATATAACTGCCAAATGTAGTAGTTAAATGTAAATTAAAATAAAGTAGACGAGGAAAATTTGGGACTAGCGATCAGATATTCGACTTACCTAACAGCACATCTGGTGCCATGAATCTTTCAAATGAGGCGTTTGCTACTATCAAAACTAGCCCGTAATAACTATTTACCAAAATTCCTTTTTTTCATTTTTGCTTTTTGAGTTAAATTTAAGCAATCTTTTATATTCTTGAGAAGGGTCGGGAAAGACAGCCTGTTTTAATATTATTTAGTAGGCTAGATAAGATTACATTTATTCAGTAAATATACAGTAAAAAGTGTATGTGACGATGGGGGGGGGGGAAAGATTATCTCCGCACTTTTTCTTTTGTTCCAGAATCTCTTTCCGTCATTTTAACCATAAATAGTTGAAAGATGTGTAAAAGTTTAACATAAATAAATAAAAATAAATTTTAAAAATCGCAAGATTAGCAATATTTGAAAAATAATCATTTCCGTTTCTGAGTTATAGAAAACTTATTTGCATCGGTACACGAATTGAAAGTATGATTTTTCTGCATTACTAACAATATAGCAACTCGCCCTTACCACTACTCTTACCATTACAAGCAAAAGAAGAGTTCAATAAATCGTGCGCATAGAGAAGATACATTTACGTCCAGAAGCAAAACAAGGGGCCATCTCAGCAATTGCTCAATGAATCAGGGAAACTGGACAAAAACCTGACCGAGAGAGTATAAGTGGGTGCTACATTTTAACAAATGATCTCCGTTCTACGTCTGACATATAGAAATGATTCCTTCTTCTTTTTATCGTAGACGAAGTACACCGGAAGTTATGTAATACTGCAGGGGGGAAAATACCAATTTTTCGACAGGAAAATGTGTTTATGTCGCTCTGTCACCAGAAAATGAAGTTTGCAGTTGCAGTTAATTACTTTTTCGAAGTAGAGCAGATTGATCCTTTACAATTTCGGTGCGGTAGGGGTAACTTTCCCACTGTCCTACACCAGGAAGTACGGAGCCACTCTAGCCTCTTATGTCGCTGACAAGCCACTTCTCCGCTATACGTCACATGCCGTTTTACTTTCTCGTACACGTACGTATATAGATAGTAATAGGTAGTAGAGTAGTATAGAGAAAGTTATGTAATGCTGCGGAAAATCGATTACGAGATTTCAAAGAAAACAGGGGTCCCCTGATCCAAAGTTCAATTCAATGTTCGACAATAAGGATACTTTTTACGTCATTTTGACTGAGATACACACGTAAGCTTCCGCGATTCGTATCCATCAATTCTTGGCAATCCGGGAGACGCCGCATCGTTGCCTGAGAGGCCGACGTTTCGCCTGACATGTCGCAGGCTTCCTCAGGGCAGTGACCCCAGTCTCCCGGATAGCCAAGAATTGAACATTTTGAGTGAAATATGATTTATTTTTAAATATATAAATTCTATTTCTGAAAAATGATTCGAAATGAATTTTTCTAATATGTTTCTTGATTACAGCAAAGGTTGCTTAAATATGTAGTTTAGGTTCCATTTTTATTCTAACCACAGGAATTTCGAAACATGCATAATCTTCACTGCAAGTATCAATTGTCATGTAAACAAAGTAACAGGTTTAGTAACCACAAGACGGTACTTACATGGCTTAAAAACTTAAAGTTGTGTTCAACGGTACAGCAGATCTCCCACAGAATATATTGTGTTCATGAAATATTCAATGAACTGGATGACGTAGACAGATTTTAGAACAGATTTTCGAAATGTGAAATTTCACAATCAACTACATTTGAAAACGTGTTGAGGAAGACATTAGTTTCAAAACAATATTTTTTAATGTAACTTCTTTGCATACCACACCACCACTTGTTAGTAAACGCTGCTATATTTCTGTTAACTGGAAATTCTATTTCATACTTAACAGATTCAAAGTTTGTTCTACGACTTTTCATTATTTTATTAACGATTTAGAAATCCAAAGAATGGGAAAATCCTTATCATTGAAGCACCCTAAACATGCATTACCAAGGTTCCATCTACCGCCAACCGCGGGAACTGCATCATTTAGTTACTTTGTTCACCACTAGGTGGTGCCCACAGAAACAAAGCGCACAAGTTCAGAACTGCTATCTCAGATCGCTATTAACGAATACTCAGACACTGTACAACTTGATGTTTCATTCATCATACTTCATATGATTATTCATTTGGCGAACAAACCTTTTTGAAGTTGATCAAGAGAACCTTGTAAATTGATCAGAATCGATTAACAATATTATATTTGCCGAGTCAATCATTGTATACTTTGAATTAATTTTCCAAGTATAAAAATAACCTAATAATTAAATTTACAACTATTACAGAGCATTAGCACCGATATCTGACTACGGTCGCAAAATATATAATAAGAAAATTATGCGGAAGGTTATTCATACCTAAATTAATAATACGCATGCCTGAACAACGACGAATTTAAAGACCTCATCTAACTTCGGAAAACAAAATTATCTTTTCCCCTTTGTGGTGTATTTTTCAACACTCGTAAGTGACTTTTTACTCACATTTATGCATCTTACAATCTCTCTGTGGGAGTGGTCAAGGAAAGTACTGATTATTTAGAACTAAATATCTGTAATTTAAACGAAAAAAACGTAACCAGTTCTGCAATGATCTCCTTACATTGAAGGAAAGACAATACATGATAGTTTTCTGGGACAAGTGGACAAGTTTTCCTAATTAATAATGTTGATTTTCATCACTTTTTTGCGTGCGAAATTCATTAGATTGGACGGGAATAATTGGAGAAATTGGAACTGTAGAGCAACGAACGTATAAGCAACCCCCAAGAAAAATCAACTGGAAATATCATAATATTCTTTCCTAATAAATTTCGAAGTGAGGGAACTCCCATGTACTTTACGCTCTATAAAAGATTATACTCGATCTCACGTTCCTTTGAAAAACATAAGTACTATTCCTTCTTAAACAAAAGAAATTAACTAACTAATTTTTGAAGATAGTAAACATGCATACGTAGACAATTGTAAGAATTTGATTCAATAGTACAAGTAAAGAATATTTATTTAGAAATTCTGGTACTCTTTCATACGAGTCTGTGCCCTTGAAACATTTTGCTGTTTATCTTTCGAACGGTTAACATTGCATTCATTAAACATCTTCAGAATCACATGTCGCACATTGATACCACATTTGGTAGCCTCATCTAAGAATATATCAGCCGCTCTCCGACTCAGCATTGCGGTTTCCGCTTTGAAGCGTCAAATCTTCGCTAGCGAGATATCCTATCGGCGCCGGATGCTCTCGAATGCTCACAGACGACTCCATGCGGTTCATGCTCAACAGAGGTTCAGTGATTCAAAAACGCACGATGTCTCCCGTGGCGTGGTTGCTATGTGCGGCCCTGTACGCCAGCACGTGCGACGCAATCGGTCTCGTTCGGGGGATCAAGGACTGCCGGTGCCTGCCCAACAACATCCTCGACTGCCCGTTCCGAGGTAAGACTGTCCTGCAGGACAACGAGCTGTGCATTTCGATGGAGGTGGTCAACCTGCAGCAGAATAATTTGCGTACGTTTCCCGAGTCTATGCCTCCGCGTCTCCGCATTCTGGACGTCTCCCAGAACGACATCGCCGCGTCCACACCGGAGTTGCGGCACCTGTGCAAGCTCGAGCAACTGGACGTCAGTTACAATCGATTGTCAGACTTCGACTTTTTGCCGGAAATTTGCTCGCTTGGGTTGCTCATCGCAACCGACAACCTTATTTCGACCATCACGGGCCCGTTGCAGAATTGTAGCCGATTAATTGAGCTTAGGCTCGCCAAGAACAAGATAGAGTCCGTACCTGAGAATTACTTTCAAGAATTAGGAAGTCTGGAGCTACTCGACATGTCCGGAAATCCCAGTTTCGTGCTTCAAGGCGGAGAGTTCAAAGGTCTGCGCAAGCTCCAGTACCTGGGTCTGAAATCCAACGAAATCTCGGAACTACCGGCAGACATTTTTTTCGACTTGGTCAACCTAGAGATCCTCGACTTGCGCTACAACAACATCAGCAACCTGCCGGCAAAAGTGTTCCGCTCGCTGGAAAAGCTGGAGCAGCTGTACCTGCAGCGGAACAACCTGCGGGAGCTGCCGGCGTCGCTGCTGGAGAGTCAGAAGGCGCTGCGCAAGCTGGTGCTGGACGACAACCAGCTGGAGAGCCTGCCGCGAGACCTGCTGGTGCGGCTGCACCAGCTGGAGGACCTGTCGGTGCGCGGCAACCGCCTCACGGAGGTGCCCGACGCGCTGGGCCGCTACTGGGGCCCTCTTCGCACGGCGCTCTTCAGCGACAACCTCATCGCCGCGCCGTCCGAGGAGTCCCTGCGCCCGCTGCTGCGCCCCGGCCTGCAGGTACCCGTCGCTCTCATGCGGCTTGATTCAAACCTTTTTGCTCCTAATGCTCGAGGAGAATACGAGTAGAATCAAGGAGCGCCTTTTCTACGACTTGATTCAAAAGTTCTTTATATTCACTCTCATACAGTTTGCTTGAAAGGGTATTCCTAAAGCTCCAGCACAAATGGCATCGAGGAATCGAGTATTTGGAAGTGACACCGAGGAGTCATGGAGTCCTGTATTGCGAATACGCTTTTTTAAAAATTCTTCCTATACAGTTTTAGACATTATTTGCTCTTTGATTTTTATTCGGGTGGATAAAAAGCATAATTTAAAACAAAAAAATTCAAACCTATTTTTTAGTTAAACTAACTTTTGATTAATAAAATAGTTTTGGAAAGAATACCGTTTTAATTAATCAAAAATAGATATGTAACTTCGCATTTGATAGCAATTATTATATTAAAATAATTGATGTAAAATATTTTTGTTAATTTCTAAACTTTAACTCACATTAATTTATACAGACGTGTCCAATGTTTTTTATTATAAAGATTATTCGTAATTCTGAATAATTTATAATATTTCATAAATTCGAATATATTTATAATTTAATTAATGCAACTGAAATTTAGAATATATGACTTTTATATATAATAAAATTATATCAACATAAATTTTATTAATTAAATTAATTTGCAAGAACATCTCGTTTTCGCTTGTTAGGTACATAGAGATATTTCATTTTCAAGAGTTAAATTAGCATTAGAAATTACACCTGCGTACTTTTCTAATTTACTAATGTGTGCTCTTTATTAATTAAAATGTAGGTAGGCGCTCATAAAGGCACAATTTAGGAAAATGTTGATGAAAAGAATCAATAATTTTAATTTTAATTATTCAAATACTCTATTGGTTACAATAAAATGTTCTTGAAGTTGCTTTTCATGACAATTATTGAGTCGACTAGTCGCAATAAGGGATTGGACCAGAACTATCATATTCGGCATTGGTAAGACTACCGCTGCCTACTAATAAGTGTTAATGATTCGCTTCCACACAATAAATCAGACACTTTCGTTCCTTTGCGTATAGACTATTTTAAACTGAGTGCATTTGACGTTCATGGTTGAATATTGGAACTAGAATAAATTGCAGCCAAGATGTGATAAAATCCCTTCACTTCAATACACACAAATTGAAGGTTAATATTGCCGAGGCAAGTTTGAGAGAGAAATACAAACTGTTATTCGGAAAAAACTTTGAAACACTTTTCAACACCGTCTTCAACTTAACTAATATAGAACTACTACTTAATGACGTAAGACATTTCACTTTTTTTCGGAATAAAAATTCTAGGTAAACACAACAAAAGAATTCATTTTTGCCAAACAGACATGTCATATTTTGAATGGTTGCCCCTCAAATCATTCAGAGGGAACTAATTCATGAAGAAAAGTAAGGGAGGTGCCAACTATACAAATTTCTAGTTTTATATTGTTCGGAGATCTTAGAGCACCGTTTTTTAAGTATTCATTCCTCAGCTAATTACAGCCAATATAATTACTATTCGATCATGTGAAATGACGAAATCTCTGAAATATTACTAGCAATTACTTTGTGTTGATTAGCGTTTACCATTAGAAGTTTCAATTGGCAAAATTCAAGGCACAATAGAATTTCAAACGTTCTAAGAATGGAATACAAGCACGTACGGATATACCAAAATTCGAATGACTGCATTAAGTTTAAAAAATTACACAAAATTTAAAAGATAAACTTAACTTAAATGCATTAAATTAAGTTTAACAAACGCAAGGTATAAAAAACTATAAATTCTGCAACATTTGCAAAAAATAATAGTACATTGTGTTTGAAGGTTCGTTATATTTTTTTTTCTTTTAGTATCCCTTGCAGAAGCCACTTGCTGTCACTCGCGATAGCGCTGTTATGTTCATTAGCGACCTTTCGTTTCATAAAAGTTATGTTATTAAAAGGAAGATGGCAGGTTAATACTTAAAAAATTATTTTTATTGCTCTAGAGATCTGCTAATGTATCATCAAATCAGAAATAATAACTGTGTTGGGAGACTAACAATTCGAACAGATCTGGAGCTTAGCTTGAAAATATTGTAATAAAGGTTTCTTCTTTTCCACTTTCCTTGATTTGAAAATATTAAATTCGGGAATTGTAATGGAAACAACAAGACAGAAATTAATTGTGACTTGGCCGGGAGGTAGGAGACATCCACCTTGCTAAAGTGCCCGATCCCCGACCCCCTCCTCCCCGTCAATTCACACCCTCTGCGCAGCTTCAGTAGTGCTTCCTATAGCGCTCAGCGTGCGAGCTTCGTTGTTGCTTGTTTGCCCGAGGCCGACTCCAAACGGACAGACTTCACCTTCCCCTACCACCAGAGAACCGAAGTTCAAATCGCGATCAGTCCTTGTAGAATTTGTGGTGGACAACACGGGTTCGCTGCAGGTGTTCTCGAGGTACTCCAAATTCTGTTACCTTTCCTACCACCACGAAGTGCTGATACTTGGATTTATTTAACCGTGCACTTGCAGAAAATCAGCTGTTCACGGTTTCACCCAATTGCTTCTTGGGGAGCTGAACGTCCCTTTAGTGACGTCGCTGTAGCGATATGTAAGCTCCCGTTTGGATGAAACCGCAACAGCTGCTTTACGTCAAGTGCACAACTCGATTATAAATCGACGTGCGCGCAGGTGGCGGACCTGGAGGGCAACCCGGTGCGTCCCGAGGCGCTGGCGTGGCTGCTGGACGCGCAGAGCGACCTGCGCGCGGCCGCCGACGCCCAGGACTGCGCGTGCGGGACGCTGTCGCTGCGCGACGTGCGCGCCGTCGGGGACGTGCGCCTGTGCGTGTACCTGCCGTGCGGGGACGACCCCGGCGCCGCCGACGCCCTCCCGGACTGGCTGGCCGTGGTGCGCGCCGCGCGAAGGGACCCCGGGCGGTTTAAGGCCGTCGACGCCGCCCCGCGCCCGCGGCGCCGCGCCGCCCCCGCCCCCTTGGCGTGAACTCACCAGCGGGCCCGCCACTACAGTACGGATTGTTTAGATGTGCACTTGACGTAGATGATCCACTCGGGAGCTTATATATCGCTGCAGTGACATCACTATGGGGACGTCCAAACTCTGGATTGGATGAAACCGTGAAAAGCTGATTTACGTCAAATACACACGGGGGAAAAAGAAGAGTTGCAGAATACCACATGCATGATACTGTAATAAGTTCCCTTGCCACAGTATAATGGATCTGGTATACTGCAACTGTTCTTTTTCTTTCTGCACGAGTAAACAAATTATAGTTTACGGCCTCTACACTCCGATTTAAACACACTTCAAGATCACTGGCTGGAAGGAGATTAGGGAATTGTCAGCTAGTCGGGAGCTCAAGTACCAAAAAGTCAAGTCGTAACGAAGCTCGCGATTGGAAGACATCCCCCTCTGCTTGCAGCTTGTGACCTTAAATTGCTACTATGTTTAAATCGGAGTATGAAACAGTAAATCATTTCGAGGTCACGAGTTGACAGGGAAGCTGGGACATTGTCATCGAATCGCAAGCTTTGCAACGTCTTAAATGTTTGGCATTGAAGCTTCTGATTGTATGACAGTGCCCCCTGTACTTTCAGCTCGTGACCTTCGAAGGGCTTGTTTTAATCAAAGTAAATACTATAATGCACGAAGCTCCAGACGTTTTCCTTGGGTTTCGAAAGTTCGTCACATACTCCCAGAAGCGTATCTAAATATTCAGGCGCCCATGACACGCATAGTATTCGCGCATCTATCAGGATACTTCAAATTAGGGTTGTTATGTATTGGAGGGTATTCTCTAAATGGCGCCCATGGCACGTGTACCACTGCCATACTGTTAATTGGCATCTGCCTACGTCTGAGTTCTTCCGGTGAACTATTCGCGGTTTCAAGGCACCACTCGTGTATGCCCCCGCCCTGTGAGTTCTTTCACAACTGAAGGTCGCAGGTTTTCGAGAAATCTTTCGAGGAATGTGAGTAGTATACGCGGGAAAATACAAATTTATTGTAGCCAAAAGTGAGAGCTTTTTAAAATATTTAAATGTAGGTATGTTATTAAATTAATATTGTAAAATTGTGATCAGAAATATGATTTAGGTTCCCTCCAAGAAAACTCGGAGTATTTCCATAGGGCTTGAATATTGTACGTTTATTTTACGAGCAAAGTATAGGAGTATGCTATTAAGTGTAAATTGTATTATAAAAACCCAATACAAAGAGTTAATTATTGAGCGCTCACTTTCATACTGTTTACATTGTCGAATGCATAGACGAAATTCAAAACAGTTTCAGATTAGTTCCAATACGAGTTTGAAATATTTTTCCATGTTCGCGAAGCAAGAATAGCGAAGACAGTTATCCTACGCAGCACAATAAACTTTAATGATGAATGCTTCTGCACATATAGCGAAGACTTTTCCTTTGATATACTTTAATTTCACAAAACTTTTGTTTTTGTGTTAACGCCACAAGATTTTAGTCGATCTCGAGGTCGCCACTATATTATACCTCTACCAAAAATTCGAAGCATTTAAATGCCTTGCACAGTGCTCACATAGTTCTTAATAATTGTTAAATAAAAAAAATAAAAATTGAATACAACAATAGAATAAAAAAATCGATTTCAAAGTTACTAAAAGTTGGTAAATGAGGGGAAAAAAGGACAGCGCTTCAGGGTCAAAGGTGGGCTTAATGTCGAATCTTTCATTTTCGTTAAAAGTCTGCTATTGAATTATTTTAATGCAGTCATCCCTTGTTTCCTTCGAAATTATTTTGTGTCTACGTTTCCAATAGTTTACCAAATAAAACATAATTTTGAAAGAGATGTATTCCGTAATATATTTAATGGGCGCATTTGTTGATAATGAGTTTTATTTTAAACTTAAACAATCGTTAATATTAGAAGCACCTATTTTAACGTAATTACACAACAATTAAGTAACGTTAATTACACACCTCAAAAACAATCAGTTGTTATAAATTTCATTCACAATACATCAATGTCGCATTTCGAGAATCGTTTTATTGAAATACAAGGCAAGGATTAAACCAAATTACTACCCCTCAAACCAGTACGATGAATTAACTTTTTGAATAAACTGATATGAACGGAACGCAACGTGAATAAAAACTATTGCTAAATTAAGACGCAAGTAAGAATGAACATTAAAAAAAACATTCTATGTAGAATGAGCCGAATGTAAGGTAAAGAAGTTATAATTTAGTTGCACTTACCTTCAGCCCATGACGTATCCACCCATAACACTTGACAAGGCTTCAAAATTTTCACTTTCGATTTCACTGGCACAACACTACCACTGTATTTCGCGCCGCCCATCCGTCTCAAACTCCGGCAGCGAAACAACTAATGAAGGTGAGGTCTTGGAACACACCCTCCAGCCAGTGCTGACAACTTGAACGTCACAAACTTGAGTAATATATCATAATTTTTGTAGCAAACTATTAATAGATATAATGTTACATAATTGTCGCCTCAAAAAGTTGTTTTGGTCGTCAATACAAGTAACTATATAAATACCAGTGAAAATACTTTTGATAAAAAAAATTCATAATTGATTTTACTAATTTTAAAATAAGAAAGCTGGAAAAATTAGGTAGTTTCAAAATATCTAATATGACCTGTTATAATGCCATTACTTCATTTTTTGCACAATTTTTATGAAACATTATTAATATCAATTTTAATAAAATAATGTATTGAAATTATTTTTGTTTCTCTTTCACCAAACGAAATTAAATTAATAAAAAATTGTTAAAAAAGTGCTGATAATTCAGTTTAATATCTACTGTCTTCTCAGAGGATTGTTGTTGATGTTCTATCTACTTATCTACCTACTGTCTATACATCAAGGATTTTATGATTATCAACTGCTTGCAAATGTCATTCTGCATATTTCAAATTGCACTAAAGGTACATGCAGAATAAAAGGATCTTTGCCGTGTTCATTCTATCTTCCTTATCGAACAATAGAAGCATCTTCCATGTTTATGTAATAGTATGATAATTCAGTTTCATAACTGAAGCTTTATTAGTGTAATATAGCATGAATTAATAAATAAATTCACTAATGAATAACTTTGCTTTAGTTGTGGTATACAAAATTAATGAATTTATAATCTAAAATCTTCAAAATAAACAATTTATTAAATCATTAATATAAACATTGAGATATTTAGTTGAATATTAGAATAAAACATAAGCTTAACATGAACTTTCCCCCTGGTGTAAGTGAAGTAGACTGTCATGTGTTCATGTAATTGTATATTGTAAATAATAACCCCAGAAAGTCTGAAGGGGAAATGGGTAGGCAAAAAATTTTAAAAAGAAGTTCAATGTTACGATGAAAAGCAATCTCTTGTCAACATTCTTACCCTCTGATACTACAACAAAATTGAATTTCAACTTTTTATTCAATAAACGAGTTAAAATACTTTTCCAACTAATTTTCAGACAAATTCTCTTCAATATTCAGCGGTAATTATTTTAAATTTGGCTTAAAACAAATAAAATAGAATGTTGTGCTGGTTTCCTGTAAAATTGGAATGTTTGAGATCATGACTCCCATAACATATTCAAAATGTTAAAATGCAATGACAGTGATAAATATTGTTAATAAAAAATATAAATATTGACTAAACTCTTTGCTAAAATAAGAATTCAATTTTATTGAACCATACAATTTTACAACACAATTAAAATTGACTTCCTCCACTAAAAGCTATAATAATTAAAGTGAATGTATGAATTTGAACAATGATTTTTTTCTTTATCACAAAAAATGTTCAAATGTGGTAAAGAAAACATCAGTTATTTAAAATATCTCATCTACTTCAGTAATGCATTTTACTTCAAAAACAGTTCTTTAATACTGTTGAAAAAAACATGCTCAAATAAAAAATTCAGTAAAGAAATGTATCAAATTCATATAAATTATTACTCTTAAGAGAATGACATGAAAACTTATGTAAGTAAATCTTTGGTCATGGATTTCTAATTTGTTGATGCTATTTCCCTTAACTATTTTATATGTAACACAAACAAAAATTATATTTTCTACACCATCTCATTTTTTTCTTTAATAAAGCATTCTTTGAACATTATAGCAAAGACCCAAAGCCAAATCATGCCCTACTACCCAATTCCTACTAATTGTGTCATAATACTGATTTTAAAAATTAAAATTAATTGATTGTACATTTTTCACAAGTTTTTGCTTGTATCTTCCAATGCAGGCGATACACATTGTTTGTTTTTTTTACAATTAATAAAATAGGAATGAAGGTTTTTTAACCATTACCTCTATTATGATACATGCTCAACACAAATATTGTTGTTCATGTGTTTAACGTGTAAAAGCCATAAAAAAACTTTCACTCAGCTAAGAAAGAAAGAAAAAATAGAAAAATTTGAATGAAAGTGTGCTGATTACATCCAGACAATTGTTTGCCAACACCTTTTAAAGCAATCACAATCTTTCATCAATCTGAACCAATAAGTCCAGGAATATGAGGTGACACTAATTATTATAAGGGAATAGTATTTGTAATGATTCATTAGCACCTCTCTAAATCAGTAAAACAATGTGTAGGTACATTGAATTATGATACACAATGTTTTGTAGAATCGTTATAATTTTTACTTTTACTAGTTTTAATAAGTAAAATTGAGTTTAACTTTCAAATGTGTTTGTAACAAGAAAAATTCGAAAGTTAATGTGAGGTTTTTGGATTGAGAATTCAATGTACTGATAGCCGAAAACGTGATGTCTCGCCATTCTCTTGTACATTATATTCAAGATCCGTACACAGAGTAAAACTGGTACAGAGAGGTCCATACACCGGACTGTCGCAACTTTCTGGAGAAAAGTAACCCTTCTTAATGTCAAGAATCTCAGTCACCAGGCGCGTTTTCACTCGTAGAGACGTGTGATTGAATTGTGTTCTTGGGTGAAGCGGTGGGATCAGGTTTGGAAGTCTGGTCTTCTGGGTGGGACAACGTTTTCTTGCTGATATCAGTTTTCAATTTTTTCTGAGATCTACTTCCTTGAGAGGCTGCAGGATCTTCGGACTCGCCCTGCGTTGTCTTCTCCAGCATGGTTTTCGAATCCGCCAGTGTCTTCGCTTCTGCCTCCATCTTCAAGGTGACTGCGGTTTGGGTGCTCTCAGGTGCGTCACGAGATTCTGGTCCGGTGGCCTAAGAATTGCATTTTAAGTTAGAATTTTAATTTGTGAACGTTCTTTGATGTTCGGAAGGAACATAGACAGCATTTCTCATCCCGATAGACAGGATAATGTTTCAGAGCCTATTTGAATAGTGAATCGTTTACTCTTAAATTTGGATAACAAGCAAAATAGAACACATTATTGCACACATTTCAGATTTTCCTATAAAATATTACTATTTTCCAAATGTTTGGGTTTACAGAAGTAGGAAATAAAGAGAAACTGTGGATATTGAATTTGTAAAAGTATACCCTACGATGAAAAAAAGTTCTTTTAAAGAAAGTCTTATTCAATAAATAAATAATAATTTGGAATGATACGCAAAACGTTTTAGAGTATTAAAGAGTTTTTATGAATTTTTGGAATAACCGCAATTCGTGTTTAAGGAAATTACAAGTTCTAGGAGGATCAACATTCCTGGTTAAGGTACTCAATAAATGTGGGTATCTTAAAAACATACAAACTACATTTTAGGAACCTCGAGCCAAACTCACCTTTTGGATCAGAAAAAGGTGGAAGAGAGTAGCGAGAGTTTGAATTCGTCTACGACCAAATACAGAGAAGGATCTGCCCGGTTGTGGTAGCCTAAGGGTCGAGATATGTTGGTCTCTCATTTAAAATCGACAAACGAGTTGCCCTTTTAGCTGTAAACTACATACTTTACCTCAACTAGGCTCCTTATCACTGCTTTCATTTCAAGTGCGTAGCAAGAACATCAACATCCGCTAAGAGCCACGCGTGTGCCATTTTTAGGAATCGCTTTATTCTGTAGTGTTTGAAAATTTAAAATAGCTCGCGTGTAAATGTTTGGGCTAATATATTTGTCGCAATAAACCTGATCACATTTTATTTTTCTACATCTACATTTCAGAAGAAGGAAGCGAACGAATGAGACCTGTTGTCACAGCAAGGAGGTGGACACTAGAGAACTTAGGGTGACTAGACTTTCATTCATCCTGCGACGTCTTTTCTTAAAAATACAATCTGAAGGATCAAGTGATCACATCTTGGCCTAGTATATCACAAGCGAAGTTTATTGAACTTTCAAATGAAAATGTAAGTTTGTAAGACACAGCTTTTTTATTAATTAAGATATATTTATCATCATAATCACCAACTTGAGATTGGGGACTGCCCTCAGCGTTAGGAACGACTGAATTTGTTCTACAACTTCGAATTGGAGTCTTCGCAGTATCGGACTCGATTACACAGAATGACTCAAAATACATGTTACAAACTTGGAAGGAATGTAGGACGGGAGGACGAAGATTGGATTTTTGCAAATGACCATGTGGAGGGGAATCTCCTATGACTTTACACTCATGCAATTTTGAACATCGCGCTCTTTATTGGTAGGTGAATGCGCTGGTGTTTGGCACTGGTCAAGTGTAGGCGGCATTGTTCAATAATCAGGGGCGCGATGTTCAAAATTGCATTAGAATGTTTACGTTATAAGAGACTTCCTTCCGCATGTTCATTGGCAAAAAGACATCTTCGACCTCAGGACTAGAAGTTTGTAACATTTATTCTGAGACACACTCTGATGTACCGCGTAGAAAACGTTCTTGAAGACGTTTCTCATTTCTCTGTGAGTAAATGTTTATTACCCTCGGATCTTTGAATTTGGGAAAATATTCGAGCGGTCCTAGGTAAGTCCAGCTGATGCTACGTGATTGGTGTCCTATGCGTGTGACGCAAACGTACTCAACTGTCACCGAAACCAACGCGTGGCGACATCACATTGGAAGAGGGGGAGAAGTTGCTCTGCACCGGCCCACGGTTATGCCGGGGTACTCCCGCTCTGACTCGTCGAAGGTATATTTCTAGGCGGTTCACCAACAATTAAAGTCGTCACCATCGAACCGGAGCCCGCCCACGGTGTGGCAGGGAAGTCTAGTCACCCTAAGAGGGCAGCGTACTGGGAATGGAGCTGAGCGCAGCGGCCTAGCGGATGCGACTGCTCTGCGTGGAGGGACCAAGGGCGGCGCCGGATCGACCTGACCTGTGACGCGGGCGACGCGGCGGCTGCCACGCCGGCGGCCGCGTCTTCGCCGGTGGGGGGCGTGGCCTGGTCGGCGGAGGACGTGTCCTCCCCTTCGGGGGGCGTGGCGAGCTCGACGGGGCCGGAGGGCCCGGCCTCTGAGTCTGTGGACTCCGGGACGGTGGTGGGCGTGGCCAGGTCGCCCAGGGCGAGCGGCGGGTCCTCGGGCGCGAGGGCGGGCGGCGGGGCGCCGCCGTTCCACGGCTGCACGCTGCCGCTGCCGAACCCCAGGAAGAACGTGGCCGTGAGGCCCAGCACCAGCGACGCCACGCCGAACAGCAGCCGCCACGACCCCGGCAGCTGCGCAGACATCGCACACACAGGGTGCGAGGAATGTACAACACTGGTACAGGAGTCCATCTGGGAAGCCTCATCCGAAGGGTTTGTTGGATTGATTAGTGATCCCGGTCACGCAAATTTCTAAGGTACTCCCCTAAATGTAGTGTACGTTTTAATCGCGTGAGGTGGCAGAGATCTTGCCCAGCTGGATGGCAAGATCCGATGTTGACCTGCAAGTGGGCTTGCTGGGTTTTCCCCAACCAGTTATCTCCCACCAGCCGGGCACCGCCAGACGGGACAATCTTTAATCTTCGGACTTCTCCCCCGACGTGTATGGTAGAGTTGTGCATATAAGTGTAAGTGTATGTACCATATGTGATAGGCCATGAAAGTGGAAGGAATGATCGCGAGCGATTCGTGGCCTGTTTGTTAGGATACTGCTTTGGCATTTGGGTGATGTTGATCGGAGAATCCACGGTAACTACCGATCAGAGCAGCCGGCCGCTAGAATTCTCCTTCGGACAGCGACTGAATTGAAGGATTGTCGTCGTTAGTCTAATTGTATATCTACGCTCCGTGAAGTCAGGGAAAATAACTTGATACACCGCGGTTTCCTGGATGGGCGACCATATGGGAACACCAGTTACTACCGATGCTGAGCCCCAGGCCGAAGATGCCGACAGACGACAAACTGAGTCGTTGTTGCGACAAAGGTACAACAGACTTCATTTTAAAAAAGGGATCATTCGAAAAAAAACACGGTTCTCTTATTATCGAACATCACCACTCACCAAGGAACCCAGTCACCGCCGTGGACATGTGCCGAACGACAACATTAACCTGCAAGCGGAATGGCGTCACATGTATAACTCCAAAATGTTGAATGTTGAATTGATGCTTCACTATAGATGTCCAAGTTCATGACGAAGCCTCATCATTCGCCCTACACGAGTAACTTAAAACGTCTTTGAGTCTTTCTAACGCATTTTATCCCGATGTACAAGGTTCCTGCCTTTGGTCTATGCAATGAACAGGAAACATCTTTGTGTCTGTCCAACGCATAACGTCCTGATTAAAAATACTTATATTTTGTTATTACCGTTTTGATTAAAAATAGTTATATTTATAAATTAAAACGCGCCTTTCTCAATTGAACTACGAAACAGAATGCCTTCATTGCCAACACTCATTCACTGATCTCACGAATTCTGGTCTCAATCCGCCAACGTGGATACGTTTAGGACCCGAAAATATCAAAGAAGAAGTAAACTTAAGACATAAACTTATATTTAGAACATTATTATAATAGATACGCATGTTTATGTGAATGTTCTATTCACAATGATCATTTCTGACCAACTCGGCCACTGATAAACAAATCGACAGGTTAAGTCACAGTCAACATAGACGCGATTATTATTAGTGTACCAAAATCGTGATGAATGATTCATGGGAGTTTCATGAGCAATAATGACGAGAGGCAATTTAAGCTCCTACAAAGTGCATTTCACTCCAATGTGTACATTAAAAGTTCTTCGCATCTTTTTCCGATACATGCTAGTGTTGTTCTCTGATAACTTTCACGTGCAAATTAAAACTGTACAAGGTAGCGAAAATGTTGGACATTCTCATTGGTTCAATCGAATAAAATGGCACCAAGCATATTAATTAATCGGTTATATTAAAGGTAATGACGGATTTATAAAAATAATACAAATTGTTTTAACCGTGTCTCATTCACATATTTTATTTGTTATTTATTTTTCCTCCTGCACAAACAATTTTCTTTTAAACAGTTTATTTCTCAGAAAATAAGGAATTAAATTTTTGTCCTCTTACGTTTGAAGAAAAAAAAACACGCGGAGTTACATCAGCACGTACTTCTCGCGATTTTGTTTAGGGCTATGTAATATTCCGCAAAACGTTCTCTAATTTCGAAAAATTGTATATTGACAACATTTCAAAATCCATTTTTAAGGAACAGAATTCAGTAAGGAGACAATAATCTTTAATATTTTCGCTGTAAGAAGACACGTAAAAAATGTGAACTTTTGTAATTTTCGAAAAACGATGGTATTTAACGATCATGAGGCCTGCACCATTCCCTTAAACCTGGCCTGTAGAGTTTTTCATGCCGAAAAATTCGTCCCTTTTTCCGCAGAATTTATATAACTTTCTCCTCTTAAGAAGTACCTATGTAGGGCGGAGGAATTAAAACCCTCCCAAATATTGGATTTAAAATCACATTCTTGTTTTAGTCTGCGTTGATGAATTAGACAAGAGGTGATTTCTGTGCTGGACATTTGTTTCAAAGTAAAAACCGGCCTATCACCAAAACAATTTTGAGTTTTGCTTATAACATTATTTTTATCATAAATTCATGTGAGATGAGTAATATTTCCAATTGTCCATTTTTTGAACTTGAAGTAATGATTTTGCTAATTCCTGTTTTATTTTTACTTTCCCATATACATAACGTATATATTGAATAATTTAAT